CGGCAGAGAAGAAGGAGGAGGAGGAGGAGGAGGCGGAGGAAACCCGGAAAAGGGGCCGCGCTCACTAGGAGCGGCCGCCGCCCAGCCCCGGGCCGCCCGGGCTCACAGCGCCCCCTGCAGCGCGGGGGGACCCGCAGGGTGGCGCCGGCCCCGCCCCCGGCCCGCCCTGGCCCCCAGAGCCCCAGCGGAGCCCCAGCCCCAGTCCCAGCCCCAGTCCCAGCCCCAGTCCCAGCCCCAGTCCCAGCCCCAGTCCCAGCCCCAGCCAGCGTTGCCTACTGGGTCCGACCCGCCGCTCGCCCCGGAGACCCCCCACCCGCAGACCGCGTCCCTGGAGCCATCCCCCTCGAGTCGCAGCCCTCTCAGGACCTCCCGGAGACGCCCACTCCCACCCTGTCCTTCTGGTCACCCAGGTTCATATCCGCAAGACCTCCCATCCCCACCCTGTTCTGACCCGCCTGTCACCCAGCTGGTCTCATCAAATCCCTCCCTATGTCTCGCTCATGATTCAGAAACTCCCCCACTTGCAGATTTCTCCTTCCTCTTCCTTCCACTCTGGACCCTGCCCTGTCTCCCACAGACCCCCTCAACCCCAGGACCTCCCATTCTCTCTTCATCCAGAGCCTGCCTTTCCCTACGTCTTCCCGAGCTCCCCTCAAATCCCTTTCCAGAGCCTTCCCTGAGAACCCTCTGAATGTCCTCTTGGGTCATTTCCTTAAACTGGAATGGGTCAGGTTGCTCCACTATTAAGTTACTATTTTTCCCTTTGTAACTAAGAAGTAATTTGTAGGGAGATACTTTGAGACTCTGTAAAAATCCTTTTTTATTTTCCTTTTTGTTTTTGTTTGGGAGAAGGGAGAGTATGGGAATGGCCAGTCCAGCCTGAAGGGACAGACTAGGGGTTAGTGATAGCTGAGGGTGGGGTGGCCACCCCAACTGTCCCGTGTGATGGTGTTGCCTTCTAGCTCTGAACACTCTCTTATTTCTTCTACTGGGCCTTGCTTTTGTTTTGCTTGCCCACCCTGGGTCTTTTAGAATAGAACCTCCTCTCCCAGCCCTGGTGCTCCTACTCCAATCCTTGTTCATTCTGTTTTTTTAGATAAGATCTTGCTCCCTCCCCCTTCATGTAGTTCAGAGCAAGGACTTACAAATGTGTGACCTTGTGCTGCAGATTTTATAGCATAAAGCCAGTAATGGCGTCTACTTCACAGGGCTGTGTGAAGAATTAAAAAGGTAAACCACAGCGAAACAAAACAGTGTTTGGTGTTAAGATTACTAAGTGTTATGCTATTATTATCGGACAGGGCGTTTCTCCTAACACTTTTGCTTCCCCTAGACCATCACACGCACACACCCCTTTCAGTTCCTTTCACCTTCCAAGCTTGGCTAGGGGACACCTCCACCTTCCCAAGGCCTACTCTTTTTCCTTTTCAAGTTTCACCTTAAAGGTAAAAACAGCATGAGGACCGGATGCTCAGCACTGGCTCATCTGTCACTGGCCACAGCCAGAGGCCTTCAGTGGTTACCATGCTATCCCAAAGATGACTTGGGGGTTACATAGGGGAACTTAGAAGTTCCCTAACCACTGATCATATTTATCATCAGTAAGGAACCAACTGACCCTCTGTTGTGCTGTGGTGAGAAGAGCTACATCACCCTTGTGGTATTCTGCCCAAAATCTTCAACCTGAATCTAATCGGTAGGACACAAGCAGACAAATCCAAATTGGGGGACATTTGACAAAACCAGCATCCTGGACTCTTTAAAATAATCAGTATCACTATAGAAACCAAACCAAACCAAACCCCATTAAAGGAGACGAGACTAAGTGAAGCACATGATTCTGGATTCAATTCTGGATTTTAAAAGGTGGGAAGAGACAGGGAGGGGGAGAAAGAATACAGCAAACAGAAGGACACTATTGAGGGAATTTGAATATAGGTCATATATTACATAATAGTGTTACATCGATGTTAAATTTTGTCGGTGTGGTCATTGCACTGTGGCTATGCAGGAGAACCCCTTGATTTTAGGAGTTATATGCCAAGTGCTTACGAATGAAGTATCATAATATCTGTAATTTATTCTCATATGGTCTCCAGGAAAATTTGAGTTCCTGAGAGCATAAGCACGCAGGGGGAGGTGGGGCTATTGGGGGGAAAAGTTGACAGTGAGTGTAATTAATTGTAATTAAAGGGTCTGTGAAATTGCAACTTTTTGGTAGGTTTGAAATTTTTCAAAATAAATACTGGAAGAAAACAAATAAAGCACACTAGAGGACACAAACATTCTCAAAATCTTAATGCTACTTTAGGATTTTTACCCGCAAGTTCCTATCAACTAGTCCAGATCAGAGATTCTTAATCTCAACCCTTGAACAAGCTTTCCAGGTTCCAGGAACCCCTGAAACTGTGAGYAAAATTTGTGGGTCAGTGTCTGTGTGCGTGTGTGTTCTTTCTTCATGATATATCAGATTCCTAAAGGAGGCCATGACCCAAAAAACGATTCTGAACCATTGATCTGACTACTAAATCCAAACCCTGCCAGGGCCCCATTCTTTACCTCCACCCTTGCCCACCCCTGACTCCACCCACCCTCCATGCTTCTTCTTGTCATCCTTCGTCACCTAACCCACACCCATCTCCYGTAACCTGCTCCCACACCTGTGGGATGCCTGAGGATTCACCCACACACCACTCTGGTGCAACACACTCCAGATGTGGCTGACATTTCACTAACTCAGCCCTGAAACCTGCAGTCAGTCCTCCCACAGCCAAATGGAATATGTTTTTATGGTTCGTTGGTAGATAGGTTGGGCACCCCACAAAATTGGCATGTAGCTCCTGCCATGTAGCTGGCGTAGTGTGAATTAACATGGGCAATTGGAAATGGCACCAATGCAGCCTAAACTGAAGGAGTTTCACTTGGATATATGAAGAGTCAAGTGGGTGGCTCTGCAGGGTGGGTGACAGGCCAGGAAACCAGTATTGACCTCCCCAGTTACTCCATGTGTGCCATTTGGGGGTGAGTGTAATTCAGAGTTCTATAGGGAAAATAAGAGAGGCCATCTTGGATCAAACAGCCCAACAACTTCCTATTAATTCCTTCTATGTTTGCTGAGAGCCATAGCCAAGTAGGAATGACGCATGGCATTTTTGGTTGAAAGGTRACTTCAGCAAGCCATTGAGATGATAATGATTATGTTAAGATGTGCATTCAATTGGAGATTAGACCCCTGCTGTCCGCCTCAGCCTGCTACTTTGGAGCTCTCCCTTGACTCCCAGAGAGTTCCAATTGGTTGGGGAAGTGCGGTAGGAGGGAATTCTGGAGGAGGGATTTCCTGTTGGTGTAGTGTGTCACGGGAGAAGGCCACATGCGTGCGTGCGTGGCATTCCCAGGAGTTTTGGAAATAAAGTTTGTTCCTGCTTGAGTGGCTCGTGATTTTGTGCCCAGCCAGACTGCGGCATATGTTCCCAAATTCTATCCAACACTAAAATTCCTCCCAAAACAAATACATTTTGGAGAACTCAGAAGACTCCCATATATCTTGACAAGGCCTATTTCCAAAGCATTTGATAGGCATACAGGCTTTTAGCTTGTATTGCTGCTTCTTAAAACCTAGCCTTGGGGCTGGGGATAAAGCTCAGTTGGTAGAGTTCTTGCCTCCCATGCACAGCACCACAAAAACAAAAACCCTAGCCTTGGAGGTAGATGTGGTGGTGTGCTCCTGTGGTTCCAGCTCCTCAGTAGGCTGAGGCAGGAGGATCACTTAAGCCCATGAGTTTGGCCATCATAGTGAGAACTGTTCTAAAAAAGCAAACACAATTCATATGTTCTGTGTAATTGAATCCTGCAAAAACCTCATAAAGMTAAAACCACTGAACTTACACTTTAAATAGGTAGATTGTATGATGAAGCTAAGATAACATCTGTAGGTTTGGAGCTGCTGTAAGAACCCCCTTTTATTGAAGATGAAGAAACTGAGACTCCAATGTCAAGGATAACTTGAGATAGAGTTTGCATTTAAACTCACAAAGTCCATTTTCTTCACCCCTTCCTGATTTAGGGTTCCCCAAAGGGCCCAAAGATGTATATAATGAAAATAACTCTCATGGCAATGTAAAATAACCTACATTATCCCAAATAAGGGGACCAGTAAAATAGATTGTAATTATGAGAAATTGTTAATAATGAGAAAAATTTTATGATATAAGATTTGTTTTGGGGGTGGACACTGGGGGTTGAATCCAGGGGTGCTTTACCACTGAGTTACATTCCCCAGCCATTTTTATTTTTTAAGACAGGTTCTCAGTAAGTTGCTGAGGGTCTCGCTAAGTTGTTGAGACTGGACTTGAACTTGTGATCCTTCTGCCTCAGCCTCCTGGGTCTCTGGGGTTACAGGTAGGCACCACCACACCTGGCTATGATATAAGATTTTTAATAAGTTTTTTAAAGTTGCACAGAATGATGATTCCCACCCCTATCCCAAAGATACCTACTTCATATTTGCCAGATTCTGTAAATATGTTACCTTCCATGGAAAAAGAGACTTTGCAGATRTAATTAAGAATTTTGAGATAGATAGATTATTCTGGGCCAACCAATGTAATCATAAGGGTCCTTATAAGTGAAAGAGGGAGGTAAGACAGTTAGAGAGGTAGATATATTGATGGAAGCAGTGATCATAATGATGTGATTGCTGGCACCAAAGATGGAAAGGGGCCATGAGCCAAACAACATGGGGCAGCCTCTCCAAGTTGGA